TATATCTAGAATGCTGTTTTTCCAGTTTGTTCCTCGGATAGTATTACAGGTAGGCCACACCCCTGGGGAAACTCCCCCTAGACTGACCGGCCGCTTAGGACATAGTCATGTGATCCATCATGAGAAACAACACTCACAAGTGAAGTCCAGCCAAGTTGACAGATCTTCAACTATCACAGGCATAGAGGAAATGGAACATTTATTCAAGAAAATTCACTAAAACTCAACAAGAACAGTGGTACCAAACCAAAACCAAACTCACTGCCGTCGAGTTCGACCCGACTCATAGCGACCCCTCCTTGGGTTTCCGAGGCGGTATCTCTATGGAAGTAGATTGCCCAACCTTCCTTCTGAGGAGTGGCTGGTGGGTTTGAACCGCAGCCTGCTGGTTAGCAGTCAAATGCCTTAGGCACTATGCCACCAGAGCTTCCAAGAACAGTGACAGCCATTGAAAACCTTATGGCACTCAGTTCTACTCTATAACACATGGGATAACCATGGGTCAGAGTCGACTACCTGGCATTGGGTTAAAAGTGAGTAGCTTTATGAGAGATACAAGGTAAACAGTAGGCCACATAGGTTCCCAGACCCATCTGCTTAGTAAGCTAGAGAGAACCAGGGAAGGAGACAGTTAAGAAGAACCCTCTTAGGGTCAGAACACATTTGAAATACCTCAAAAACTATCATGTAAAGGAAACTGCATTTAATGGGATCAGACTGTGGAGCAATCTATGCACCAACGCATTGTCAAAAAACTCTAGCACAGTCATCTGGCAAGTAGTGTGGTCTAACAGTGAGTGTGATCGGGGAAAAAGACAGTCAAGGAGGGTCCTCCTATAGCTACTGCCATCCTAGGTGACTGTGTGCAGGCCCGAGGCTGCACTCTGAGGATTATCCACCATGACTCTATCGGCTCTCTTGTGCTGCTGTAACAGAGAAGACCACACATGAACGGCTTTAACAAACACAGGTTTATTCTTTTACAGTTTAGGAGGCTAGAAGTCCAAGTTCAAAATGCCAGGCTCTAGGGGCTGGGTGAAAGCCCCTCAACCTTAGGCTTCAGCTCTGCCTCTTGCTCCTGGCCCACTGAAGCTGGAGGCTTCTTTGAACTCAGACAGCTGCTGGCTGCTAAGGCTGACAAACCCGAGGTCGACAAGTCAAATGGCACAGTCCCAAAATTATGAAGCAACACGGCAGGCCACTAGTTCAAGTCCAGAAACAGTCTCAAGATTGGCAGACCACATGGCAGGCCACCGAGATGAAGACTTGGCCAAATGTTGGATCCAGATGTGCCCAAAAGCTCAGAGACCATTCTCAAAGCATCTTCTTACATACTGGAAGCACACCACATCCCTAAGGTGGCTACTTAGCTGCTCACAGTAGATTCCACCTTGGAGTTGATTACCAGTCTCATCATGGGGAATAACTATACACTGCTGCCCAGCCACTCAAAATGGGGTCCAGCCAAGCTGACACCTAACCTTAACTCCCACAATGACCAAATGGAATTTGTCCCAGGAATGCAAGGTTGGGTTAATATATGAAAATCAATGAATGTAATACATTACATCATCAGAATAAGGAAAAACACTCTATTTCAATAGAGGCAGGAAAAGCACTTGGCAAAATCCAACACCCCATCATGATAAAAACAGTCAACAAACTAGAAATAGAAAAGAACTTTCTCTGATGAAGGGCATAGACAAAAAACCCACAGCTGTTGTCAAAAACACAGTACTTTCCCTCTAAGATTAGCAACAAGATAAGGATGTCCACTGTCATGCCTTTTAATTCAATCTTGTACTGGTGGTTCTAGACAGGGCATTCAAATGAAATAAAAGACGTGTGATCATAAAAGAAGAAGTAAGACTATCTTTGCTGTTAGGTGATGTCGAGTTGGTTCCGACTCACAGCAACCCTACGTACAACAGAATGAAACCCTGCCCGGTCCTGTGCCAGCCTCACCATCCCTGCTAAACCTGAACCCCATCGTTGCAGCCACTGTGTCAGTCCATCTC